AGAGGGCAGGAAGAACTGACGGCAACTTACCTTGAAGTTCTTCTCGGCATCTGTTGATCAGCCTCTTCCTGGGTCCCTGATCTTTGATCACGCTCTCTGACCTCTGCTCCTTCTCCCATTTCCCTGGATGGGACGCCATCTGAGGACCATCGGACTTTGGTTTTTTAGGCAAGGGCGCTGCTAAGGCTTGGTCTTCCTTCTTTGGATTCTTGGGAGCGGAACTGCAGCTGGGGGCAATGGCAGAACTCTCAGGATGGGCTGTAGATTTCTTGGCTCCTCCGTCGTCGCAGTCCTCATTCAGCCTCTGGATGGCCAGGGCTACGGTGTTGGAGAACCCATGGTCACTTTCCTCCTCTTCTTCATCCGAGGAGAAGGAAGCTGTTCCTGTGTTGGGAAGGGCTTGCGGCTGTAAGGTAGGAGGAGGGTTGAAGAGAAGTTCCCCGCTGGGTTGGGTTGAGGAAGCCGATGGTTCCTTCATCTTCTTCATCTTGGGTTCGCAGTCATCTTTCTTGACAGGTTGCTCCTTCTCTTCTTCCTTCATGTTCTCCTCCTCCCTGTCAGTGGCGGGAGAAGAGGCAACTTTCTCACCTTCAGGATCTTTCAACTTCTCCTGGGCAAAGTTGGAGTTCTTGTTGAGGTTTTCTATGGGTGGGGGGGGAAACGGGAGGGTTGTTTTCATCAAAAAAGCTAAAGAAGCTCTGAAGAAAGCCTTCCTTATTCCCCTTGCCCCTGTTGGATGGTATTTTGTGAGGGGCGCCATTTTCCTGGACCTCGGAGGATGGCAGCTCTGCAAGGAAGTCCAGGTCATCCTCGATGTCTGGGCAGATCTTGTGGGAGAGGTCCAGGCAGCATTCCTCCTCAGACTTGCTGTATTCACTGCTCTCGCAGTAGGCTGTGGAGTTAGACTTGGAGACTTCCGGCTCAGCGGCAGCCTTGTCCTCCATCGCTCCGTTGGAGTTGACCCAGGAGGAGTTGCTGGAGTCCGGGTAGTGCTGCTGCTGTTGCTGGGGGGTCTCCATCTTGCCAGACTTCATGAGCGAGGAGACCTTGCTGGAGGCATACGAGTCTATGGCCGCAGCGGCAGCTGCTACGGGGTAGTTTTCCAGGGGATGGCCCTCGTGAGAGAGAGAGCAGTCAGAGTCCTTGACATCAGCCTCGCTGTTGGCCATGGAATTGTCGGAGTAGGCGGCATAGCTGTTCCTCTCCTCCATGAGGTCTGAGCTGGCTGGGGGCTTGTTGGAGGCCATGTAGTGGTTCTGGTGGTAGATGACAGAAGGATGGGGGCTGATGACTGGGGGCAGCGAGGGCTGGGACTCGTAGTTGGCCTTGTGGTGGCTACTGAAGAATGGCAGGGGGTGGTGGGCCACGGGGGGAGGGGGGTGGATCATGGGGGGGCCCCCTTCTTCCTCAGAAGAGAGGCTGGCAGGGTTGCTGAGGGATTCCTCTTGCAGGGGTCCAGCCCCAGAAAGAGGCATCTTCTTGGGAGACTGGAGAGGGTAGGAGGCCAGGCTGCTCTGAGGAGAGGGGTTGGGAGAGGCAGGGGTGGGGGGCTGGGTAGAGGGAGTCTGCGGGGGAATGAGCAGGGAGTCCCCTGCAGGAATGTAGGCCTGCCCCATGGTAGACTGAAGGGGAGGGTGGGAAGGTGTGGAAGCTGGGATAGGGGTGCTCATGGGAGGATAGACCGGGGTCTGGTTGCCCAGACGGCCATAGTTCTGGAAGTCCATGTTGCCGGAGCAGTTGGAGGGACTCCCCCCAGTCATGGGAAACCCTGGAATGTAAGTGCCTCCCGTGTTCCCACCGCTGGGATTGGGGGAGTACCCTTGCTTGGAAACATAGGGGAAACTGGACTGGATGTCATTGTACATGGGACTAGGGGCTAGGTGGTTGGGAGTCCCCTGGCTCCGAGATCGGTTGACAATCACACTCCCCGGTGGGTTGGGGGGTGCTGCCGGGTAATGACTAGCAGGGGAGGCCCCGGCCTCGTGTTTGACTGTGGACATGTCGAAGGCTGAGTAGATAGACTGGGAGTAGCAGTAGGGGGAGCTGGCAGCACTGGAGACAGACAGCTCCAGGTTGCTGCTGTAGGACTTGTAGGCCTGGAACCCTGACTTCAGATAGGAGTAGTAGGCGTCATTCATGGAGGATAGGTAGGGGGGTCCATTCTGGGGGTTGGAGCGGGAGCCCGGGGCAGACTGGTCCCCATAGGGAGTGGGGGAGGGGAGGATGGAACGGTAGCCCCCTGGCGGACCCTCCATGCAGGCGGATGACTTGGGATGGGAGTCCACACTCTCGCTCCGTCGCTCCAGGATGTGGCCTCTGGAGACTATGGCCTCATGTGGCAACATGCCAAAAGGCCCGCAGGTTGAAGCCATGATGCCAGAATGATGCCTCCAGGGGTTCGACGCAGCCATGGGGGAGTTGAACCACATGGCCGACCCAGGGGTGGGTCCCCCCGCCACTCCCAGCCTCAGAGTTGGCAAGGAACCTGTAGTCCGTCTCCTTGAACCTGCCCTCCTCGAAGGAGGAGAAGGGACTCTTGGCTGTGTGCTGGATAGAGGAGGCTCTGAGAGGGCCGTAGGGGGGGAAAGTGGGGGAAGATGAGGGAAAGGGGCCATCGCGGAGGAGCAGAGGATGGTTCTGGTGGGCAGGGAGGGGCAGGGGACCATCTCTGCTCCCCAGCCGGGAGTAGTGCTGACTGTAGGCTGACCACAAGCCGGATTCCATCTGCACACACCCATCAGCTGTGACCACAGCCAGGAATGTGGGACAGATGACTTAGCTACAATTTTCAACCCACAGAAAATCCCCTTCTAATGACAACACTTATTTAATGGCCAACTCAGATGAGTAACAACCACTCTTTTTAAGAGTTTTTCTTTCTTTAAAAGAGAGTGCCTCAATAGAGACTGCTTCTATATTTTGGTCTCAGCAGCAGTAACTGCCTTTATTAAAGAGGTTTACACTAGGATAAGGTTCTCCCTGCTCCCAGGCATTGTTCCCTGCCATCTCTACGTTTCCTCCACCCCTGCGAGACATATTTGCTGCCAGATCTTAGGATCCCTTGCCACTGGAAGTCACGTTCTGCTGCCATGATGGGGGATAGAAGACCATGCCTGAAATGGCGAATTAGCCCGGAAAGAAAGACAGACTATGATAAGGTACACAATTTGGATTATAGATTATAAACACAAAGTAATGAAACCAAATCCAAATAAAGACAAAATAGACACACTATTTATTTATTTGGATTTGGTCTTACCTTAGGTTTACACTATAAACTATCACAAGGTATTAAAACTAAATAAGTAAATGTAAGGTGACGTGTGGTAACAGTGATGTTAATGGATTCACACACGAGCATACAGGAGGCTAAATCTGACTGCCACCTACTAGAAGGCCCCCAGGATAACCAACCAACGGCACCCATCATGGAGACTCCTTATACTGAATGATCTTACAGATAACATCACACAATATTTATTTGGATTTGTGGTCTTACAGTAGAACCTTCCTATAAAGGACACCTAATTGCAGAGTCAAAGTGTCTTTCAGAGAGAGATGGGTCCTCTTACCCGAGAGTTGCTAAATAGTAAAAAATTGTAATTTTGCAAATGAAAACTGTCCTTTGTAGTGCAAGATCTGTCCTCAGTTAATTTATCTATTGTACAGTAAAACCTCCATTAGAGGACACTCGCGCTAGAGGCCACCTCTCTATAAAGGACAGTTTTCATTTGCAAAATTACCATTTTTACTATTTAGCAACTCTACGGTAGGAGGATACCTCTCCCTAAAGAACTTTTTAGCTCTGCAATTAGGTGTGGTCTTTTACAGGGAGGTTCTACTGTATTTGTATATTCAGTCAGGAATATCCATTATGGGGCATTGGTCCTAATAAAGGCTTTTGTTGTTAATGATAAGGCGCACAATTTGGATTATAACTACAAGAAAATAAGACCAACTCCAAATAAATTAATAGTGTGATGTTTCGGTAACATTTTATTCTTTTGTCTGATGATGGTAACACAAAGCTGTTAGTGAAACATCACACACTATTAATTTATTTGGATTTGGTCTTATTAAATTGTTGCTTTTGTTGTTTAGTTATATCTAAGACCAGATAACTTTGGTGCTGTAAAATGTTGTGAACAGAGAATCAATTTGATAAAATCAAATCGGGCCAAGATACCCTTCAACACGGACTTATTGGTCTCTGTTTTGAAGGGCATGTTGGCCTGAAAGCTCAATAAATAAAAAAATGTTGAGTCAAAAGGCAATCCATTAATTAAGATTATATAAAAGGGCATACCTGATAGTGTAAAGAAAAAATTTTTTTTTTTTTTTTTTTTACAGATCCAGGTACGCCCTTTTATATAAAAATAAAAAATTGTAAAAAGAAACCTAGTTTTAGATTACTTATTGATTTTATCAAAGTGTAAAAGCAGGAAGAATCTCTAGAGAATCAATTGTGTATAATCCTAATTGTATGGTAGCAGGGTCTCCCTAGGAAGGTTTTACCAATACCATGGGTCATTATATTGGGTTGTTTTACATAAGAATCTCTCACCTTAATCCTTTAACGGGGCTCCTTCGCTAGAAGAGAAGTATGAAGGGGGTGAGAGACGGGCCTTCATTTCCTCCACCTGCCCACACACAGTTGCCATGAACACTTTGGAAAGTAAGGACACAACCTATTAGATGCAATATCACTCAGGTCTGGTGGAGTAAATGGGTGGAAGGGTTCACCACTGATGAGCCAGGCCTTCCCAATATATTTTTCATTGCAATGATGGTGGTAGGAGAAAATATATATATATATATATTTTTTTTTTTTTTAAATTGCGCTAAAACGGTGTCATTTCTTGTAGACATGTGTGAAAAGCAGTTCGACTTTTGCATTTACAAATGTGCCAGAGCCTGTTTGATTACATGCACTTGCTGGTGGGGTTGGACTTTTGCAAGAATCGGGGACCATTGGAGCATTTTTTTTTTAGTTAGAAAAAAATTTCCCAATGCGGGATTTAATCCCGGGTCATAGTGGGCGAAAACCAACCGTTAAGACCACTCAACCACTTACCCCCTTAAAGACTTTAATTTGGGTAAGTTCCTGCTCATTTTTCTGATCAAAGAACAGTTCTTAAATATGTTTCTCCAAGATAAAGTCCAATTCATTGTCAAACCTGTTGAAAGTGAAGGATATACTCCAAAATGTGGATGAGAAAAACAAAGATTTTCTTTTTGCCAAAATATCAATTTATTGTTGAATATATTATTATTTTTATTATTATATTATATAAAAACTTTAAAATTTCAAAATAGACAAAAAACCTTCAATAACTGCTTGAAATGCAATAGTGCAGAAGCTTCTCCGGAGCATATCATGTTCAGAACTGACAATAGAGGACCTATTTTCCAGGCCTATAACTACCATTGCAAAATTGGAGAGGAGTGGACTTCAGGAATTGGTTTAACCATGGAGATAAGCACCATCACCACCATTTTTATTAGTATTATCCTTAAAGTCCCTCAAGAGATACATCCTATTAACTTGGATTAGAACAATTGGAGAAACACTTAAAACACTTGGAATTCTATAATCCTTCTTCTTCTTTCTTATCTCTACTTAATCATATCAGGGTATCAAACTTGTAAAGCTTGTTGATGGTGTCTGTTGGGTATGAGTAGAGCACATCAATGGATGAGTCAATACAGTCAATAATGTGCTTTGTGAGATTAAGTGAAACACTTAAAACACTTGAAATCCTAGAATTAGGATGTCTTCATCTTCTTCTTTCTTATCTCCACTCAATCATATCAGGGTATCAAGCTTGTAAAGCTTGTTGATGGTGTCTGTTGGGTATGAGTAGAGCACATCAATGGATGAGTCAATACAGTCAATAATGTGTTTTGTGTGATTAAGTGAAACACTTAAAACACTTGAAATCCTAGAATTAGGATGTCGTCTTCTTCTTTCTTATCTCCACTCAATCATATCAAGGTATCAAACTTGTAGAGCTTGAGACTTTTGATGGCGTCTACTGGGGATGAGTAGAGCTCATCAATGGATGAGTCAATACAGTCAATAATATGTTTTGGGGTTGCAGGTTGAGAATTGCACTTACTACATAGTGGGAAAACCTTGCAACCATTCTGGAAAGATGTTATAATCATAAGTTTCTGATATAAAAGAGATTGTTAAAACAAAGAGCCCCATTAGAATTATAGTGGGTTACAATAAATAGGTTGGTTAATATTCGACAAATGGTTGAATTATAGTGGACTTAATCAGGATTGTAAAAATTGGTTGAATTACAATAAGTCTTGGAACTATATGCGTCATACACGAATCATACGCATCTATAATAGTTTCGAATTTTCATAACAGATGGCGCGCTAATGCATGATAAAAATCTTTTGTCTTTGTCAGGAATAATAAAAATAAAGCATTTGGCATTAAAAATATTAAAAGAATAAATTGTAAGGCCAAATGCTTTATTTTTATTTCTACTGATGAAGACAAAATATTTTTTGTTGAAATATTGATAAAATAAAACTTTAACTGGCCGAAGTGTCTATTTTTTTTAAAGAAATATGAATGCCGGGGCCAGGGAACCTCTATCTTCAAGATAAAGGGAAGATGATAAGGTACAATTTGGATTATAGATTATAAACACAAGGCAATAAGAACAAATCCAAATACACCTATCCCCCGATTTACACGGTAGATATGTTCCTGAGAAAAACGTGTAAATCGGGGGATAGGTGTATATTGAACTGTCAAATCTGAATAGGTGTTCGCCCCCTCATGAATCAGAGCCTCCTAATATTCTTTTCAACATAGGTAGTATAGTGTAGAATATCGCATTTTAGTATAGTGCGATAAAAACAAAAAAAAAACTTATTTGGAAAACCGTGTAAAAGCGAAAATGTGTAAAACAAGTACCGTGTAAATCGGGGGATAGGTGTAAATAAATAGCGTGTGATGTTTCAGTAACAGCATTGTTACCATCTTCAGACAAAAGAATAAATGAACTTTATACTAATATTTTTGTCTGAAGATAGTAACAACGCTGTTACCGAAATGTCACACACTATTTATTTATTTGGATTTGGTCTTATTACCTTGTGTTTATAAAGGGAATATTGTTTTGTAAAATAAACGAAAGCCCAGATAGACTTGACATTTCTGGTTGACAACAGACAAATTTTATAAGCTGATCTATGCAAATTTTCAAATAGAGTAGAACCTCCCTTTAGCGGACACCCCGCTAGCAGACACCTCTCCACAAAGTTTTCATTTGCAAAATTACCATTTTTACTATTTAGTAACTCACTGGTAAGAGGACACCTCTCTCCCTAAAGGACACTTTGGCTCTGCAATTAAGTGTCCTTTACAGGAGGGTTCTACTGTAATAGATTTTACAAACCCATTGATAATTTGATATAGACTTGACATTTCTGGTTTAAAACAGACAGTTTTATAAGCCGATCTATGCAAATTTTCAAATACAGTAGAACCTCCCTTTAGCTGACACCTCTCTACAAAGGACAGTTTTCATTTGCAAAATAACTATTTTTATTATTTAGCAACTCTCCGGTAAGAGGACACCTATCTCTAAAGGACACTTTGGCTCTGCAATTAGTTGTCCTTTACAGGGAGGTTCTACTGTAATAGATTTTACAAAGTCATTGATGAATGAAATTAAATTAAAGTCTACTTTTTGATTTCTTTATGGAAGCATTTTTTAATTTTTGTATGCATATAGTGGTATCTCATTATAACAATAATTTGATTATCTTAATTCTGAGGTTCCAAGTTTAAAATCTCTCATTATTATTTTAATTACGGTTATCATAAACACTCCACCTTTGCCGGTCCCAAGCCCGGATGAAAAAGGAGGAGGGGGAGCAGTAACAAGCTCACTAAAAAACCTGTGCTCAGCTGGCCCGGCTGATAGTACCCTGTAAGGGCTCCTAATCCAGGGATACAGGATGAGCAGCGTTTGTACTCCATGTTAGAAGCGGCTGCACATGGCGTCTGTTCCTCATGTCAGAGGCGGTCATTTCTTTTGGAGCTAAGTCGGCCTGCCACTGAGTAGTGCTCCCAGTCTTAATGACAAAGGCAGACGCATTCTACTTCACCCAGTCATGATGGTTGTCAAACAGACACCATCAAGGGTCACAACTTGATACCCTAATATGATTGAGTGGAGAAAAGAAAGAAGAAGAAGAAGATAAACAAAATAGGCATATCTTGACCATTCACATAAGCATTTTTTAGATTGTAGAGCGCCTCTAGTGGAATAAAAATCAACTAAACATTGATTTAACCTATTCCCTGATATTTGATCAACCTATTTTCAAATATTATTTGTGAATGATTTATAAAGAAAATGGGTTGGCTAAATATCAGGGAACAGGTTAAATCAATGTTTAGTTGATTTCTGTTCCACTAGATGGCACTGTGCCATCTAAAAAAAATCAGCTGAGCAGTCAGGATATGCCTTTTTTGTTTTCTCTTCTTCCTTATCTCCACTCAATCATATTAAGGTATCAAGCTTGTAAAGCTTGAGACTTTTGATGGTGTCTGCCGGGGGAAGAGTAGAGCTCATCAATGGATGAGTCAATACAGTCAATAATATGTCTTGGGGTTACAGGTTGAGAATTGCACTTAGTACATAGTGGGAAAACCTTGCAACCATTTTGTTTTTAATATCAATAAGCTGACCTTTTTTTCTATATTTTATTTATGGTTATACCAAAAGGGTTATAACAACAGCCTATGTATTGTTATAATATGGTTTCACTGTAGTTATATGGCTCCAAATTTTCTCTCTTTCTGTTTCATCATCATTATCTTTCATTATTATTTTTAAAAATCTGCTCTAGAAGCCAATCTATTTTATATTAATGTGTGGTATTATGGAGATCTGGATATATCACAAATTAAAACAAAAAAAAAACGAGCTTTTAGAATAGACTTGTCAATGTATTTCTTTAGAAGGATTTATTAATAATAATAAGATACTATAAAATGATTTGAATGTTCTTTCAAAATTTCAATTTTTATTAAACACAATACATTTAAATTATCTTCTGAATGATAATTTTTAATCAAAATTGAGATCGTGGTTGTTTTAAATAGTCGTCTATATATTTTGTATAAATTTTAATGTTTTGATTAATATTAGTATTTATGTTTGTGTGATTTGAAAATATTTTATTATTTTTTTAAAGATATTAAATATATATATTATTTTGGCCGCTATATAGTTATGATTTTGATGTTTACCAATATCACAAATACGCATATCAATTTTAAAATATATCGGCTTACTTTTTGTTTACATTATATATGTTATAATTTTTTGGTCAAAATCGTTGAATAAAAATAGGTTCTAATTATATATATATCAACCGACCGTGTACAAACGTAAATAAGTATAAATTTCTTATTTGATTATTAAGGAATAGTCCACCATTTTGAAATATACTGTGAAGAAATCGTCCGAGCCGCCATCAATACGACCTATATCACAGTACGCGAGCTATTTTTCAGGGGTGGTTAAATTCATGCTCTAATTCTCTCTTTAATTAAACATTAAGTTGTGAAATGGGAGTAAGGAGTACTCACTTTAGACCCCGCCTACCAACCATTCGACCACCACCATGTTGAAGCCACTTGACATACAGTTGAATCGACCAATCAGATCAAGAGGCTTATTTTTTTTATTTGTTTACATTTTCATATTTTCAATAATCGAAGTTTAATACAGTGGATAACCATCAGTGATTTTTAAAATAATATATTTATGTTAATTTCAGTTAATAACACAAATTCAGAGTCTCAATCAGATTTAAATGTCTTTATTACTCTTTTGGTGTGACGCTAACTAATCAATAAAATTATTTTCTTAATTTTAGATTATTTTAGAATTTTTATAGATTTATTCATTAACTGTGTGTGTGAAAAGCATTTTTCATTTCATAAGTGATAGCGTTATGATTTTATTTTTTTGTAAGCCTATTTTTAATCTCTAATTTAAAATAGTTTGCCTTAGCATACTTAGTTTTGGA